TGCCCGTGGACTAATTTATGCAGGCTCGCGCTGTGCCGCCGCCGCGCGGATCGCAATGGGGCGGAAAGCTTAAATTATAGACCCATCATGTAATATATCGTTGGAAAGCTTAAAAGACGCTCTTTTACATGGTGAGTATTTAAAGTGACCTTAATAATGCGATTTTGAAAGTTATGCGAATTACAAGCTTTTTTTCCACACGCGAAACCCAGTTTTTGTGAAAAAAACACCCTGTATATTGTCAAAATCAAAAATTTTGTAATTTTTTTATATTTACCTTTAAATTATCTTTAAAACCAAAAAAAGAAAAATTAAATCGGTTCAGAGGATCTCGATCTATAGCGGCGCAAAGTACGCGCCGGCCGCCATTTTGAATGGCCGCCATCTTGGATCTGCCACCATTTTGGAAATGCCTCTTCGACTCAAAACTCTTAAAATGTCATCTAGTTTGATCTCCCAAAGTGGCAAAACTGAATCACGATTTGCAGCATTTGTCCCTTTTTTGGCGCTAAGCCACCGTACTATGGTCTAAACATGGGTTTGAAAGCCTACAATTTTGGCAAAAAATGCGAATTTTCCGATATTCGACCTCAAACCTGCGAAACTCGTAATTTTCGCCTACGTCGACTTTCAAACCCATGTTCGGACCTGAAAAGAGGCGAAAAATGACCAAATCATGATGCATCCCGTAAAATATAGACCTTCAATGAGCGAAAAATCGTAGAGTGAGGAATTTATCCTCGATGGGCCTGAAAACGGCGTTCATCGATATCCCTCCTTCGCAAATCTTTAAAAAAAAAAATAAAATCACATTTTTACCATCAATTGCAGTATTTTTCACTATATGGTCCATAGTGTCAATTAAAAACGATCACACGGGAGATAGGTGGTTTGTAATGCAAAGGGAAATTGCAACATTTTCCAATTTTATCGCCGTAATTTCTATTAAAGGAACTCCTTCAATTAGTAGATAGGCAACATACATTTCACTTCCCCGCAGTAGCGATTACTTTGGCCAGACCTATCGCTTAATTATTGAATCGCAACCTTTGCCAACAATTAATTTCATTTGTGATCGTCTACGAAGAGGGATTTCATTTGACGAAGGCAGAATTTTTTGTAGAATGATTTTTATCGAGCTTCATCGATATGTCGGATTTTGAAATTTCTACGAAAAACTCTCTGATGTTCTCAAGATCAACAATGGTGCAAATTTCAGACTCGGCTAAAAGTCTGAAAATGTGTCTAAATGCATAACTTCCAGCATGATTTCGTGTAGTTAGTACAATTTGCCTCGAAAAAATTTTCGAAAGCTCTTTTTTATACTTTAAATAACCACATTCCCAACTGTAATCAGTCTTGATCAGCCGCAAACCATTCCGAGGGAACATATCTTTTTTGGCCCACCATACTTTGGATCCCGATTCAAGGGAGCCCTCAAGTGATTTTGGGGTTTACATACATTTCATTCTGAGATACTGCGAAGTTTTGTAAGCCCGTTTAGAACAACGTAATTTTTCGCGATTTCACGTTTCCATTTTTCTGGCAAAAATTGACCTTGGGAACGTCCGACAATGTACCAATTAAGTAATTCTTTAGGCAAATCGTTTTTTCACCCAGTGCTTTGACCATCTAACAGATACACTTACCATTGCAAAACCGGAGAGAAGTTCAGAGGTGGTGGCTGTTGCCTTAAGTTTGGCACGGCTCATGTGAAGTCGCCGCCAAGTCAACCCTTGACTGTCTTCTCCTCGCTGCTCCTCATCTAAATGAGAATTGCTCTGTAAAAAGAAAGAAGAAAAACAATGACGTCGGACTAAGGTAAGTTTGGAAGGGCATATAGATTCGATCGACATGAATCGATCGACAACTTATTAAAAAACCGGTATGTCGATTCCATCGACATGAATCGATCGAAAAACAAGAACGTGAATCGATCGACGCGAATCAATCGACACGAATTCGATCGACAAAATTCGATCGATTCACGGGTTTGTCGTTCGATTCACGGTTGTCGATCGAATCGGTGTCGATCGATGAACGTTTTCATTTTGCGATCGATTCATGTCGATCGAATCGATATGGGTTTTTTCAATTAACTGAGGATCGAATCGGTGTCGATTGATTCACGTCGATCGATTCGCGTTCTTATTATTCGATTCGATCGATTCATGTCGATCGAATCGACACCTGTTTTTTTAATTCATGTCGATCGATTCACGTTTTCATTTTTCGATCGATTCATGTCAATCGAATCCATACCCTCCGTAAGTTTGCCCGGTATAAGTGTGTCCGTCATCAATGAGTAAAATCCAACATCTACATAAGTAATAGTTACATAACCGTACAGCGACGGTAAAATTCCCGAACCACGTATCTCGTTCGCGGTGTTCTGGAATCTCTGCTCTCATACTTTTTTTTCTTATGGAGGACTAATAAACGTATTTCTGCCAAATGGAACCAGAGACAGGTGGAAAAGAAGGGGTGTGCTCGTTAGTTCTCGGGCCGTAAGAATAAATGGGAATCATAAAGCACCAGTGACGTCAGCAACGACACGACAACGGGACAACGGGGATACATAGGCCCATGGACGAGTCTCTTCAACTCATGAGTCGTGTTCACACAGTGGTCTTGAAGCAGAAAAAAATGCGACAAAAATTTATCCAAAAACGATTTGCAGGGGGTGAGTCTATGGTGCGTATGAACTTTAAATCGCGGAAAATCAAAATCTTGGCTGATCCTAATTTCGAATTATCCTAATTTGACATTTTCATGGTAAATGCAAGTTTTCTACTGATTATGATCCGCTTTTTCATTTATTTGTTCATTGAATCGGTGTTGATCGGTTCACGTCGATCTATTCCCATTTTTATTTTTCGTTCGACTCATGTCAATTGATGACCCTCTTGCTACATGCAGATTTCCCATCATACTTTTTTTTTTTTTAAACTGAATAATTCGCCTTCTGCTGCGTGTGCAGCAATTGTTGTTACGAATAAGTTGGGCGTGCTGATTTTAGTTCTTTACATACTCGAATTTCTGAAGGCGTTTCATGTGCATAATTCACACAGTAGCGCAATCTGTCAGAGAGCGAGCGATTCATTTAATCTCACTTCTGTTTTTCTCCGACAGATTACGCTACTTGCATAAATAAAACGCCTTCAGAGAGTCAAGTATGTAATGAGCTGAAATCGGCATGCACAACACATTCGTAGCAACAATTGCTGCAGGCGCAGCTGAAGGCGAATTTAAAACAACCGTATAATACACGATGAAAAACATTTTAGCTCTTCGATTAATATTTTCACCAGTAGAGTTGCATTTTATGGTTTTTCTATGGGGGATTCTCGAAAAACTTTTCTGCAAAAACGAAAACATAAACTATGTTTTAATACAAAATAAAATATATTGCGCTACAAATTTTCACTCTTGGCTGCGTTTTTTAAAATTTTAGTCTGTTATCATTTCGTAGAATTAATATCAGAATAAACTCAAAGCTGTATAGAACTTAAAAGTTTGATTTGCATACCTGTGAATACATCGATAGGTTATTGTGTTCACAGTCATTGCGGAAAGGATAGCTAGACAATGAAAATTGAGATCCTCTGTTATCGTTCCTACTGCCTGAAATAGAGGAGACAACATGTGAGTGATAAAATATGCGCACGTTAACGGGGTAGTTAGCTTATTAATAAACCTCATTGTTCATCAAAAAATCTCAACCAGGAACAGAATGTAAATGATATTTTTGTTGAGAAATATGAATGAAAGCCTTCGGTCATGCCAGGACTGGAGGAAAGTGAATATTTTGTGACTACGCGAAAAGCAAATTCCTATATTGATATGTTTCATAAGTAGATGTGAACTCAATGGCTGATAAAAAGTTTAAACTAAAGTTTTGAAACAAAAAATTGGATTTTTTACATCGACCTTACTCACGGTTTTCTTTAAAACAACGTGTTTTTTTCAAATTCATCACTATTTTAAAATTTTCAAAAATTTCAGTTGCCTCCTTCGTTTGCTAGCTAGGCTTCAATTATAAAATATAATATATTCACGCAACTGAAAGGGAATGAATTCAGATTTTATAACCGATAAGTCAGTTAGATCTCATTCTTTTGCATTATCTTTTTCTTTTCTACTTCCCTACAGCTATGTATTATAATTCTAACATTATTTTCGATTGAATCTAATGCAATCAAAGTTCAGATTGGAAAACGAAAACGCACTGAACAGTAGTTCTAACTCCCACATACATTTAAAACTCAGGCCTGGCGGGACGGAGGGGTCTAACAGAAGAAGGTTGAATTCTTCGGCAAATTCTCTGCATTTAAAGAGTATTTTGGAATTTTATCATCGCAAGAGTTAAACTCACAACTCCCGAAATACGGCGAAACAAGTGTTCGTGAGGAACATCAGTATACCCAGGTTTTTTGGAAGAGCACAATGAAATTACTTTTTCTCCGATTACGATACAATTAAATTAGTCACTCTTTTCTCCGTTCAATTAACCTACTCAGACAGTCTAAACAGGCCGACTAGCTCAAAACCACATCAGAAAAAATGTATGGGAGTAGCAAGTACTGTAACTCTAATCTCATTCACCAAATGGTCGTACCTCTGCCAAACGGAACTGTGTGCATTATGACGTAAGCCCTGTTATGCATGTATTCTTAAGGGTCTCAAGGCTCATGTCTTAATGCACATAGTTCTGTTTTGCAGAAAATGTCCAAATGTAGGGTAAATGCGGTCAAATGTCTGATCATCTCTACCCTACAGTATGACGGTGTCAAAAATCAAGAAGACTCGTTGTAGAATTTACCATATTCCTGGTAAAATGTGCAAAATTGTTGTTCAATGCAGTAAAATTTTTAAGTCTGTGAATATCAATATTTACGTACATTTCGAACGTTCTCCTTTTCAAAATTCAGTGGAAGTTGCTTTTCATTTCCAGTCGTTACGCACACTGCCGTGCATAGGGGAAACGCCGTATGAGCCTTCAGGCGTTGCCAAATCTCTTCTAGCAAATCACTAATTTTTAAGAAAATCTTTGAACATTTTCCTGCCAAATTCTCAGATAATTTTGTTTGTGATTTGATCTAAAGTGTCTGTAAATTTCAAGAAAAAAAAATCATAATTTTCCTCAAAAATAAAAATTGTATCCAAGGAAATTTGGCAACTGTTGAATGTTCATACGGTGTTCTTCCTTAGCACGGAAATATAATATACATTGATGATTGAGGCAGCTGTTGCTAAAATGAAGCTGATAATAGCCGAGAGCAACGCGCTTTTGTTTGTGATTGAAGGGCAAAAAGACATTTTACCGTCGGCGGTACAATGGTTTAAGCAAGCTCTAAGACTATCGCTGACAACCCGATGAATAGATTCACCGACTCGCAATCAGAAAGTCCAGACTCATTGTCATCATGGTCTAATGCCGTGGACAATCCTCGCAAATTGCCACTGTCTTTTCTCTCTGCTCCTTCACCTCTTCCTCGCTTCTTTACATCTTCTTCGCTTCTTTACAGAGCTGATGATGAGCCATGACCGTGAAGATCGAAGTTGTCAGTTTGATCCTTGAAAAATTATAGTCTCGTTTAGTGACAACGACACAGTTCCTTAATACAGGCGGGTGATCCAGGGCTAAACAGCCAGACTGCAGGAGCGTGTTCTATGGGTCAAAATAATACTTTTTTGTCGTATAAAGTTTTTTTCAGAAGTGCCCCGAGTCGGAAGTACGCCCCCCCCCCAAAAAAAACAAAAAAAAACAAAAAAAAAGTTGGAAAGTAAATCGTTTTTCCTGAATTTTGGTAACGGTTTTGAGCTAAATCTCATAAAAATGGTTCCTCCCCAATAATTTTATGCCCTGCCGTCATAAATTATCTAAAAAAATCGAAATCTCAATTTAAAGATGGGGTTTGGGGGTATCGCAGTATAGCTATTTAACTCTGTATCACCCTGTACCCCGAATCGATGGTTAAACTCAGAAACCACGGGTACCTTCATCATAGTGCATCAAAAATTTTGTTCCCTTCCTATTTTTTCGAGAGGAAACCACCTAGGTGTAGAGATTGCCATAAGTTGCGAAAGTTTGTTCAAATTATTGCGATTTTATGCCAAGACGTGCGGATTACCCACCTTCCTATTTGGAAGGTCGAAATTATCGATATTTAATGCTATTGTGTCACAAGGAATTGAAATTAAGGGCAATAATTTGCAATTTCTGGTTTTGACGCAGATTGCGTATCTTCTCACTCAGTTGAAGGAACCTTAAAAGCCTTGCTGTGAAATCGCTAAAAATCCTGGAAAATCATCCATATATTTTGTCCTTTTAATCGCAAAAATTTTAATTTTATGGCAACAGTAAGGCAATATGTCAGGTTATAGGACATTTCCTCAACGATTTTTTGTCCGAGCACCTGCTTTTTCCCGTAATTTACGTCCACGCGTTTTTTCGGCACGGGATTTTTGGTCCACGTGCCAGTTGAGACCCAAAGTTAATTGGCCCACATGTAAATACAAACGACAATTGCTCACGACATTTTTGGATGAAAATATATAATGTCTCGGAAGAATTAGGGTTTGCTTGTTTTTTGTTTTGTCTGTTTGGTCCAACGGAGAATAATATATAGTTGAGAGTTTTCGTAAAAATGGGGGAGCGTCAATTCCATGAGACAAAATTCACTAGAACTCGCTACACCTCTTTGGTGTAACAGGACTTAATTATCTTTCAAGAAATTCCCACCTTGTTATAGCTGAACCGGATAAACCTCTATATTTGCCTCAGCTAAAGGCTCTTAGATTTTTCCTGTGTACGATAAGTAGCTTGATTTATTTTGCGAGGAAATATCTGTACTTTTAAAGGATGCCTGTCATTCTTAATACGTTCAATTTTGAATATTACCGTGCAACACCTCTGTTGTGAAATAGTTACTTCAGGCGCCGCCGCACGGCGGGCGGGCGGCCACCGCGAAACGCGCAACGCGCATTGGCGCCTACAAACCTAAGTGAATACTTCAAGCATTGTGCAATGCGTGAAGTATCCACTTAGGTTTGTAGGCGCCAGTGAGCCTCTCGCGCTGGCAGCACGCCGCTCCTCTCTGTTAGGCTTCAATATTTATACTCGTATAGTCAGCGTTTTTTAACTCATGATTAAAATGTTTGCACACTCTGCATTGATTATTCTCATTTAAATTGATGGGGAAAAAATTTGTATCAATTTATCAAAGGAGAATAATAATATAATGTGTGTTTTTTAAATATCGGTGGTTGCGTGTCAAATTTAATGATTTCCAAAGCACCTTAATTTTTTCTTTTACATTTTGTGATTTTATTGTGCTGCAGCGAGTTGTACGCGCAACCAAACGCTCACAATTTGACGTATTTGACTCTAAAAGATCGATGTACAAATGGGTTAAAACTAAAGATTGCGTGCTTCATGATTTTTTTTGCCTCTTTTATTCATTTTTGCACTTTCTGTCGGCACAACTGCGGCTCATTGAGATTAATGTCGCTTGGAAAAGGTTTTACAAATATTTGTCACGTTTTAAAAATGTAAACGTTTTCAAAATGAAGTGATAATTTCGTAAAGAAAAAATTTAAAAAAAAGTACCTATCCATATATAAAGTATATTGTACATCGAATATTTTAGAGATAGAAATAAAACCAAATATTCACGAATGACGATTTAAAAAGATGATTCAAAAGGAGAAAGTAATAACATTTCATTTAGAAGATGAGCAACCATTACAACACCTCCCTCTCTCTCAATTTCTCATTTCTCCATATTGCCAATATAATTTTACATACCGACTAAAATATAACGCTTGGACCAAGTCACTGTTGCTTATTTTACGTGTGGGCGTAAACTACTGGACAAAACAGGTTTGCGGACAAAAAATCGTTGACAAAATGTCCTGAAACCAATATGTCACCGATAAATAAACCGATATTACTGCGATTCTAGCTTTTTAAAATTCGCCTTGGGCAGTCGCTTTTCTTAAAAAAAAAAAAAAAAGAAATAGATAGGGAACAAAAATTAAGCAATCAATTTGTTTGCTTAGAATTTAACACAAAATTACAGAAAATAACACGAGAAGAAGTATGATAGAACCTGTTTACTTGCATCATTTCGTTAAACGCTACAAAATGTACAGGTGTTTGCACCTACCTGAAAACGGCCCATTGGAAAACGGTATGTTTAGCTGCGAATGATAAGGAAGCATTTTTGCCTGTAAGCTTAATTCGCTACCGGTTGAACTCGATCCTAGGAGGTACCTTTTATTTCCTAGTTTGCTGTCACTAAGTTGTTGTTTTTGGTACAAGTTTTGCTGTGAAAAAAAAAAATAATAATAAATGTTATCCAAAATTTAATGCTAAATTATTTTTTAAGAGGGAAGGGACTTTTTCACACGGTCAATTCTATTGAAAATGAAATATTAGAAAATGGTGCTTTACGCATGTACGGAAACTTTTCAATACAAATGCCGTGTTGTGTTGAGTCGTTGCCTACGAGAATGGAGAGGCCGTAACTACGATTCTGTGACGTCACACTAGTAGATGAAACTCGGCCGCGGTTTAACACCCGTTCTTATGGGAGAACGCTTGCCGCGCGATGATTTCTCGCCGATATCTCTTTCAGGGTTGATCTGACGCAAAATTTCATAAGAACCGTTTAGAAAGAGGATGAAATTTCACTTTAGAAAACTAACTAGTTCATTTGTGACATTGTCTAAATATCGAGGAAATGAATGCGTAATACCGAAAATCGTTACTCCACTCAGATTCAAACGGGCCGCTCGCGCAACTTCGGCTGATCGAGAGCCACTCTGATTGGTCCACGCAGCGACTGCCTCACTCATCGATGCACTGATGACCCGGAGATGCTTGTTGTTTTCGGTAAATATCTACTAGCTTGACGTCACAGAACTGACTAGTTACGGCCTCTCCATTCTCGTAGGCAACGGTTGAGTTAACTGTAAGCTGCATGTGAGGCTGCGTCGTCTTATTTTGAAGGCGTATGATAAGTAATTTAGAGTCGTGTTCTTTATAAAAACCGTAATACGGACGGAACTTCTCTGACTAATAATTTGATTCTTTATTCTCCTTTAAATTTCATAAGTTTGACGAGAGAACTGTTTTTAAATTCAGTTAATTCGATTTGTTTGTATATCGATGGCTATAGTGCGAAAACAAGTGTTTCTATTGCAGTACTTTACAGTTTCCCCTCCTAATTTGTTTTTTTTTCATAAGAAATACCCCGCCTTTTCAGCTTAAAATTTGTACAGAATATTCTACTAACAGAGGAGAAAAACCAAGGACGTTTTCAAGCCATGCGGTGGTTAATAATTTCCGCCGCCATTTTATTTGTTTACATGGACGCAGCTGTCCGAAAATTTCACTGAATTTTCTTTGTGCTGCCGATAAAATTCAGTGAAACGTTCGAACAGATTCAACCAACAATTTCTCTGTAAAAAAATAAAACGGCGGCGGAAATTTTGGAACGTTGTATGGCGCTTGTGATACTTTGGCCGGAAGGTGCGAGGATATACTTATAAATTCCAATAAGTTCTTACTTTGGAGTCTTTTCGTAACAAGGGCGGAGCATCCCCATGTAACTGCATGGACGCAGATGTTGTGAAGAGGCTGTCGCTTGTGGCTTGTCGACTGAGCGTGCCTCCAGGGATTTTCTTGTTGTAGAGATCGGCACTGGTGACTTGACGTTTGTGTTGCATACGGTGCTTTGAGAGCGGAGATACGGTGCCCTGTTGGGTGAAAAAGTCCGGCTTTCGAAGTGGCCCGCGCCCTGCGGGGGTCCCCATCCCTTTCGCCATTGAGGGGGCCCTGATTCTGGCCTCGGACGAGGACCGCGGGAGACCCTCTGCGAGACGGCTTATCTGTCGTCCACCCTGCTCACAAAAATAAAAAATCATCAAGTGCTTCTTTTTATTGTTTTGCAGAAGAAAAAAAATGTATAGGAGGGATATCGATATGGGCCGTTTTTGAGCCCATACCGAGTTACTCCAATCATAACATTTTTCACTCATTCAAGGTCTATGTTTTACAGAATGCATCCTACACATAATAAATTTGTTTTCGATGTATCGAGTTGATTTCCATAATATTTCGAATATTGGTAGCAGGTAATACTTGTGATCTTTAGATGAGCCTGCTATCTTCAAATTTTAGAATTACAGCCCAGAGGGCATGGAGTCTGGAGCAAAAGTTGAAGGTTGAGTTACGTGGCGGAAATGAGAGCAAGATCTATAGGCAGATCCAGGAGGGGGGGGGCAGATAGCGTACAACCCCCATCCCCCCGTTCGCCCGAAAAAAAGAAGGAGAAAAAGAGAAAAAAGACAGAGGGAAGGAACGGAAGAAAGAGGAATGATGTAATTCTATTTGGTAATTTTTCATGACTCAAACTGCATTTTAAATGCTTTAAAATTTCGAAAATTTTCTGGGAGAGGCCCCTCAGACCAAACCCGAAACGTCTGAATCCGCCTGTGGCAGGACCACGTTCTGCCGTGATAGCGGAGAGAGCCGTAAATGCAAATATTAAGTTCTGAGAAAACGGGCTCAGAAGCTTCTGACCGGAACATTTTATTGAAAGAAACCTCCGTTCTTTGTCAAATTGCCACTATTCGTCCGGAAGACTCCTAGAAATCGTATGGATGATTAAAAATCGACTGATTTTATTTCCATTACATAAAAAGGGTATTTTTCATGTTCATGCTAGGTTATTTTATTGTTAGGCAAGACAGTCGTAAGTGCTTTCTTCTACATGCTTTCGTGGTTGCGTTTTGGACGCACAACAGACACATTTTCAGGTCAGAAATTGGCAGAAGAGGGCGGCACTATACTGGAAAGCACTGTTTTCATTGGCTCTCATGCACCTGCGGCTGTCTTGAAAAAAACTATGTCATTTTTTGTGCACTTTCGGCTGTCGCATACGTCTCGTTTTCATTAAATTAGGATGAATTTTGCTGTTTTAGCTGTGTCAGTAATTTTATCTAAAAGAGTTTAGACGAATTTTGAAGAAAACTCGATTCCGAAAATTTTGCACTTCCGGCTCTCTTCGCTATCACGGCAGCGTTGTGTGCAAAGATGAATAGTTTTCGAAATAACTGGTTCACTTGGAATTGAGAGGGTTACTAACGAGCACAATGACTCGTATCGTTTAGCGCGCGTCTCATGATGTATGGGAGAGACGAATCATTCGACCGGTGATCGGACTGGCAGGGAAATAAACGAACTTAGGAACCTTGGCGCCGTGCCGATTACGAGCCATCAACGTACTCTGCTGGTTACTCGATTTAAGCTTGTGGAAGGTAGGAGGGGGCAAAACATCGTGTTTTCACAGTCAGCGTCATCGGTTGAAATTCTAAGCTCGTCCGAACGCAGAAATACATTCTTTCATTTTGAGGACTTAAAAGTTTACCTAAAGTGACACTGAAAAAAAATTACAGGCTGTATAGACGTACCGCTCGTTTCAGGCTCAGAGGCCGAAAGTTCCGGGTGCTACAGCCGTAGTTCAGACTGCTCCGGGTGCTACACCCAGAACTTTTGGCCTCTGAGCCCGGAATATGGACGGTATGTCTATATAGGTTCTATATAGGATAGGTATGTAATCCAACAGGGAGTCCAAAATACGAGGGCTGTCCCAAAAGAAACCGGACTTTTGTTATAGAAGGCGAACCGAGCGTCGTAATGAAGTTTTCTTGGGCTTATCTGAAAGCTAATAAGCTACTGGAGATGCTTGTCTTTACAGAATGCAAAAAGTCGTCTTGGTAAGGAAACTACGTCGTTGTATCACGTGCTTCGCCCATCCAACTTTTCCACTCCTGCGTTAAAGTCTCTGAGTCAACTGAAAAGAGTTCACGGTCTCCTTAACTTCGTTGATATGCAATTTTACCAACTTGGAAGTCGAAAAAATAGTATCATGCATTTCGCACCATCCAACTGCTCTACTTTGCGATAAACCCCCTCTCTGTGTGATTACAACACTGTAATCACGTTGGTTCTTTTTTGCCTAGTGCGAACCAATTATGATTAGATCTGTGAAAAGAGACGTCATCTTCCTGACGAAAACTGTAAGTATACTTCAAGCATCGCGGCAATGGACCACCAGACAAGGTGCGAAGATAAATATTCTAATACATGCGTCATGCGTCCTAGCCAAAATTTCACCAGTGGCCACATCGTGTTTCTCGCGAACTTTCACATAAGAATCAACAGTCAAATCGCAAATTCCTCACACATGCAACATCTCCGTTGTCCAATTCAGAAACCAAGGATATCCTCGTGCTCAGTTTTCCTGGCAGTGTCATTTTAAAGATGAAATCCACAAAATTTCAGACACCTGCAAATTCTCTATTCACTGGGAAAAAAACACATTGGATCTAAAGTCCAGACTCTTGAAAACATTGACAAGAAAATATACTCTTGATTCAATCAGATTTTTGTTTAAACCAAAAGAAAGTCCGTTCAATTAAGAGGCTTGGTTCTTGATTTAAGCTAAAATCCGATTGAATCAAGAGTATTTTTTCTTGTCGATGTTTTTAAGAGTTCGGACTCTAGATCCAATGTGTGTGTTTTTTTTTTTTTTCCAGTGTTTGTACTGTGTTGTGCTAGCTACCTGCTTGAGCTGTGCGGAGCGATCATCCCTGAATCCAGTGGTGGGCCGCTTCTCGTTGACGGTGGTGGCGACGGCGGTGGCGGCCCTCTGGAGCTTGAGCCTCTCCTCGTCGTCGGTCGTCGTCTTGTCCTCCTCCAGGTTCTGCCGGGACGAGCCGATCCCCGACTCGGGCTCGCTGCTGTCGTAGCAGCTCGTCGTCTCGGCCGCCGCGCGCCCTCGGGTCTCGTCCCCCGAATCGCCCCCCGCCACCCCCGTCGAGGGCACCCGAGAACATTTGATCGTGTTGTTGTTCTCCATGTCCGCCGCCGAAGTCACGCTCCCATCCTCGTGGATCGTGTTCATCTCGCTGCGGCTCCTCACAGCATCCTCACCCAATAGTCACCTGGAACATTCGACAAGAAGATCTTGAAATCCGTCGGGTTTTTTGGAAAGTGGGAGGAGCAGGAAGCGGAAATGTTAAGGTGCTCAATCCCCCAAGATTTGTGGTTTGAAAGAGAGCAGTGGAGGTTAGGAGTCGTAGAGCGCGAGGGAGTGCTGTAAAGCGACTTATATGTATGTATGGGAGGAGCAGGGCCGGATTAAGGGGGTGGCCACTAGAGTCCCTGTATACTGAGAGTCACGACAATGTGAATCCATTTCTGATTGGTTCCCGTATTTTAGGCCTTCATAGTGTCACAGACGGGAATAAAGATTACATTTTCACCGATTGCAAAGATTATAATCTGGAATGGACCAAGGAATTACGGGTTCGGCAAGGATCAAACGGAATGAGAGAAGGAACGGAGGAAGGAATTTGAGAATGGGTCGATCAAAGATTACAAAAAACGTTCAATTTCTGTAGTATTTATTCCCGTTTGTGACTCCATGAGGGGTGTTGTCTTGACTCTCAGTATAATGGGACTCTAGTGGCCACATGGGCCGCGGCCTATGGCGGTAAATCCAGGGGGTGGCAAAAATTTGCAATTTTTTAAAGTGTAGGTATAAAAAAAATCGGATTTATAAAAACAAAATTACAAACGAGAAAAGGCGACAAAATCTCTCATTTTCTGAGAGTATAGTAATTTCTAATCTTGTCGTCTCTTTATAGTGATACAAGAGACAGCCCTCAATAAGTCGAGTTACGAGAGAAACCAAACACGCAATTTGGCCTAGAACGGCGCGACTAATTAGAGAGAAATGATAACGAGGACTTGAGATGAAAAGGAGAAGCCCTCGGCGCGGCGATCGGCATGTAACACATATTAGCGCCTACAAGACTACACGAATACTTCACGCATTGCATCAAAAACCGTGCGGTCATTGCGGTCAGCGAGAAACGGATAGCGCCTACAAGAATGCATGAATACTTCACGCATTGCGCCAAACACAGTGCGGTCAGCGTGAAACGCTTAGCGCCTACAAGACTGCGAGAATACTTCACGCATTGCGTTAAACACAGTGCGGTCTGCGAGGCGCGGCGGCGGAAGGTAAAATCATTGAACCACATTTATGTTTCTTCTTTCATAATTTTTTCGTTCATTTCTTATGAATGGAATGCCTTGTCCACACAGAGATAGGTTTACGGAACTTAACTTCCGCGCAAAGTTTCGTGAGCTTTTGCTAGTAGTGTTGACAGGGCTTTCCCAAAAAATGTGTTCAACACGAGTAAATGCGTCTTATGCACCCCTCTCCCGCTGGCACGTTCATTTGATGGTTTTTATCGAGTTTCGAAACGAATATGAGAAGGGGGCGGCAAAATATAGGCGGCCCATGGGCGGCAAGTAGGTGAATCCAGCCCTGGGGAGGAGAGTGAAAATAGATCGGCTGAAATAGAGAGAAAGAGCTTTTATATAGGGAGAAGAAAAAGATGGCCCTCCACTGTATTGCCGTGCTAAGGAAGAACGCCGTATGAGCCTTCAGGCGTTGCCAAATTTCCTCTGGCAAATAACGAAATTTCAGGAAAATTGTTGAATATTTGTCTACCAGTTTCTCAGATGATTTTGTCTGTAATTTGATCTAAAACTTAAGAAAATTTCAAGGAAAAAAATTTTCCTCTAAAATAAACTCTTTATCGAGGGAAAGTTAGCAATTTTCGAATGTTCATAAAGCGGTCTTCCTTAGCACGGCAGTGTATCCTCTTGTCGACAGATGGAAAAGTTTACTTTCGAGGACTCAACACTTCTTTATCATAGAGTATACATATAGTCGTAATGCACGTGGGAGAGCGCCAGCAGTTACATGGACAACAGGGCTCGAGGTACACCCTTTCGTCAGGGAGCGACGAAATATACTTATGGCGAAGCCACGGTCCATAAATCCCCGCGAAGTCTAACCATTATCATTCTAATAATTTACTTAATTATGAGTTTTAGTGTATTTTCCGAAGGAAATACACTATTGCGTTTTTTTAGTCACTTTGTAAAAACTCTAATGCACAAGAGAAAGGTACATGGTGAACTAACAACTTAATCTAGGGAATATACGGAAGTGCAGATAAGTGTCTGTAGAGGGTCTGATAAAATTTTGAAGTAAAATGTTCCAAAAAGTGAAAACGAAAGCACGGCGGAGAAAATCTTATAATCGGGCGGCTGCGGTTTTCAAGTTGCGATCTTGTCTTTACTTTTAAGATATTTTACTTTAACATTTGATCAGATACTCTTAAGATCTATAACTATTTTTTACTTGATTATTGACTTAACTTTAACTTTTTTACTTAACTATTTTTTAGTTGAGTGGTGAGTAAAGGCTGGCGCCACTTCTAAGCATTTTCCAGGTCCTGAATTCCGAGACTCCTGTGTGACGCCGGGTCACTTTTTCGATACATAATTGATTGTTTGCGATACACGGGTACCCGGCCATCCGATGTAAACAAAGAAGATAGGAATTACCACGTATTCCACACCGCCATTTTGGATCGAATATGTATCGAAAAAATGACCGAAGCTCGGCGCACACCGGGCTCGGAACTCGTCGACCAGAGCATGGCGCCATTTACGTTACGACTCAATGTAGTACTCTATGAGCCGGGCCGACGCACAGTGGGTTGAGTCAATTAGAGAGGTCGGACATGAACTTTTTGACTAAAACTGCAAATTTCGATGTTTACTTTGTCACATTTTGAATTTTAAGGGGTGCTTTTAGAGGAAAATTTTGCGAGGAAACCAATGAAAGTACTTATAGAACCTCAAATTTTTGTATAAACGGAGTTATAAGCCTTTAAAGTTTCCAAATTTTGTCCGACCTCTTCTATTGACTCGATCCACTGTGCGACGGGTGTTTTGAATAATATTGGCTGGCGCCGAGAATGATTGGCAAGAGCACGGGATGGCCCTTTCGGCGGTGGACGTGGAAGCGTGGAAGGCCCTAGAAAGCCGCGGGCCGTGCGTCATCCGCGTTGCGCGTGAGCTTTTGTTCATTGTGATCGTGCGATTGCTCGCCGCTCGCGCGAGCACGAATGCCGAATCGAGCGCCAAATCACCCGCGGCTCGGCGCGCGCCAATCGCCTCTCCTGCGTGGCACGGCAACCGCATTCTCGATTCCGAGTTCCGATCCTTGGTAGATATGTTCTACTAGATTGTTTCTGCTGTAATGGTTGTCACACCCATCCAGAGACAAGAGACCCTCCACTGGCCTCTTGGCGACAGGTAGAAGCTTTTACTTTCGGGGATTCAACATTTCCTCATGGACAATCACAAGGGAGCAACAGTCATTACTCTTTTTTCGGCTGTTGACCTACCTAAACACTGAAAAAAAAAAAAAAAACACATTGGATCTAGAGTCCAGACTCTTGAAAACATTGACAAGAAAAAGGACTCTTGATTCAATCAGATTTAAGCTTAAATCAAAAGGAAATCCGCTCAAATTAAGAGGCTTGGTTCTTGATTTAAGCTTAAATCTGATCAAATCAGGAGTATTTTTTCTTGTCGATGTTTTTAAGAGTCTGGACTCTAGATCCAATGTGTTTTTTTTCCAGTGCATGGTGGATGATGAGCTTCGGGTGACGTCATGAGCCAAACAAGTTTCCCAAACTTCGGCTCGTTTGCAAAACGAAACTGCTGACACGCTGTTAAACATCAACCACGTAGGTAAGTCAACAGTTCGATGTTGAAGTCCCGAAATCCACCATAGCCGAGATACGGGTGGAGGGTCTCTTGTCTCTGCGTAATGTACTTAAGGGGAGTAAGGAGTGTATCTGCGTGAGGGAAGAAGTAACGCAAAAGCGCAGCGTACCGTTGCGTAACGATCAAAACTTAAAAACAAAACTAAGGGCTACGCCACCTAATCGCTTCGCGATCTGAAAGGTCGGAGCTTTTGGTTGAAAAATGTTCCACTAGAGTTAAAAATGTCATTTCGACTTAGGAAAACAGAAAAATAGCATTTCCAAGCAAAAAAAGCATTTTTTTAGCATTTTAGCAAAGAAAAAAAAATCCATTGAGGCTTGGTTTCGACAAGAGCTTGAATTCGACCAGAAGTGGTAGAGTCGGCCTTCGGGCAAACTTCATTATTTGGAGAGCATGCAAAGCGTATTTACAGCTACTTGTGAATGGATCGTTGAAAGAAAGCTGAGGAAATCTGCAGGCAGAATCTGACGCCTGAAAGGTAGGCAGAGAGTGGAAACGCATAGTCATGGTAATGTTACCTTCATAGATACGCGATGGAGGAGAATATGTGAAAACCCCGATTATGTCAGATATCTCAAGAGACTATAAAGATGTTCAATAGAATATACGATCGAATATCCAAAAACTATTCTTGTACTTTCAGTGGTAGGTCCAGTTCCTCTCACGAGAATGATCTTTACAATGCCGATCAGCCGAGAGCAAAGCGATGTGTTCGTACGGCTTCAGCAAGTTTTACTCATGTGAGAGGGGGAGAGAAGGGAGGGCATCTGTGATTAATAAGGACGCATTTACTGCGAAAGGAGACTATCTTGATGCAGTTTTATCGTAGATAGACTTCTTTTGTGAAGATTCGTCCAATTGAGTCTGCCCACCAGTTGTAAGGACTCCAATCACTATTTGCAAACAATCAGCTATTCTTCGGTCCCGGGAGCTTCTTCGCTGGAAGCGGGAACAAACGAAATGTTGTCGCTCCTCTGACGTAAGGGCGTATCTCTATTTTCACTTGAGCCCCGGAGAGCATGTGCTCATACAGAGAACAGGGCTCACGTTGAAATCGAGATACGTCCTTACGTCGGAGGAGCGACGATGCGGGCAGCATTCAGCGTTGAATGATCGGTAAACAAGGTTGGATCAAGGTTGCTCCATCATTTACGAATAAGACGCTTTAATTAGTTCAGTGCAGCACAGGGTAACTCAAGATTAAGATTGAGATTTTCAGGAGTCGATTCTTTCCGTCAAGATCGGATTTTTTCGTGGTGCGAAATTTTCTTCCATGACACGG